GACTCTGTGCCAGACCACGTGCATGCCAGACACTTTACGTAAGTCATCACTGCAGCAGTTCTGAAGAGCATCATTAGCCCCAATAAAAATTTAAAAATCAAATTATGAAAATAATATGCATAAATCAAAATACAAAGGGGCATAAAATGAAAGTAAAAGGCTCCCACTCTGCTCTTCCCCCCTGCCCAGAATACCACTGACCTTTTTTGCCCTTTAGTGACTCTCTTCCATATCAGACAGACCTTATCATTACTTTATGAAGAAGGAGAAACCAGCTCACATTAGGTGGACTGGCTGGGGCTACCTGTCCCCAGGCTCAGCAGTTCCACTCTTCTGCATTAGCTAAGATGAGTGGGGAGAAAATGGAAGTGAAGAAAGCCAGAGATAAAAAGAAGGGTCAGGTTAGAGTTAATATCACCCCTTCCTTTCCTCTCTTCCTGCCCCATCTAGACACTTACTCACGCTACAGTTTTTCAGGAGACCAGACCATGGCTCTCTCGGTGCAGATATCCTGAGGCTCATCTGTGACAGCAATTGGGCCAGCAGCTCTCCTCGGGCCCTGGTCGCCTGAGTACTGCCCGACAAGTGCTGCCCCTACCCTGTACTAGCTCTAGGACTGGAGCAGATGTCTTAGGCTTGAGACTTTCCTGCTTGTCTCTGAGAGTTGTTCTGAGGCTAAAATGAGAGGCAAAGGAAAAGAGGAAAAGACTCTGTAAACTTGAAATCTTTCCATGTAAATAGAGCAGCTGCCTTTCAAGGGCCTGGATAGGAACCCTGTGCCCGACTCTTGCAGAACAGTAGATTTTTAGGGATCTAAAGGTTTGCATTTTGTCTGTGTTCTGTCTGTATGTAGGGGCAGGGCTACAAGTGTGTTTTAAAGTAGAAAGGGCTGTTTTTTTAATCCCTGAAAGATGATAACACTGAATCTTTGGTATCTGAGCGGATTTCTTTCTACTGGAGAATAGGTACAGCCAAGCTGTTGAGGGTAGGAGGAGGCAGTTACCTTGCTTGGGGTGCACAGTGGGGTGGTAAGAGGTGTGGCTGAAAGGATGCTTCAGCTGGTCCCTGTGGGTAGGTGTCTACCTGCAAAGGCTGATCTGAGATTGTTCGGGGACAGGAGGGTTGGTGAAGCTGAACACTGCCGGGTGGGGAGGGGGGGGGGGCATGAGCTTCTCAAACCGGTCATTACATTTGTTTGTTATTATTTCTTGAGAGGAAGTGGAGGGCTATTAGAGAATGAATGTGATAATTCTTCCAGGGAGCTAGTCTTGTCTTTGAGGCTCCTTCATTCTGGAAGAATCTTTAGAAACATCCTCAACTGAGGGGCCTCCATGTGACAGCAAATGATAAGCTAGGGCCCGGGTCTCCTAAGCTTTGCAGAGAAAGAGCAGCTGTGGTTGGGCTGGTGCCTCTGAAAAGCCCTATTAGAAACTTGCCCAGAGTCCAGTAATGTGCCCAGATCTGAGATGAGATGGAGGGAGACTGTGAGCATCAGGGAAGAAGGAACGGTTTTAAAATGAATGAAGGGGGCCGGGGAGTGGGTTGGTTCCAGAGAGAAACCATGAAAGGAGTGAAAGTCAGATTTTCGGGAAGGCCCAGCCAGCTGCACAGCCTGCCTTTAATGCCTGTGTCAGGACAAAGGATGCTGCGCCCCCTGGTGGCAGACTGGGGGTCGGCGCCCGCGCGCTGCGGCGGAGACCGGCGGCCAGACCCAAGGACCAGCTGGAAAAGTCGGCGGGTCAGATGCCTTTTCTTCTGTTTGCTAAGGGAGTTGAAGTTGAAATAGCCTTTGCTTTCTCAACTCTGCAGTCTAAATAGAGACGTTGGTGTTAAGTGAGCGGGTTTTGTAATTCTGGCATGCAATTTAGGCCGGCAGGACAATGCCTGTTTAGAAGTAACCTAGTGGGGTGGGAATTGCCCTGGCCGGGAGAAAAGATCGGCATTTAAGCGGAGAGCTGGTCTGAGGAGAATCTTGAAAAATTAAAGAACCTCCCTTTCTCAGTCTTAACACAAAAGGGGCTACAGTAAGATGTTTTAAAATTCTTTTGCTGGGATTTATGAGATAATCGTTACTCTTTTCCCAGAGCCTTGCACATTTGACATTATTGTTATTATTATTTTCTGTTTATGTGAGGGTGCAAATGTTAGGTTTCAGCATCCTGAGTTCCCTGATCCTGAGCAAAGATTTGTGTGGCTCCCCTCCTTTAAAAATGCAAAACAACCCTCTCTTCATCGCAGAAGCCATCCCCTCCACCTTTTGTGGAGCCTCCTGCAAAAAGCCGCAGTGAGTGCAGGTCTTTAGTCTCCACTCTGTTTCTTTTAAAAATAAAGTATGAAAGTTGTGCTGGAAATTATGCTGCTAAGTGTTACATGTGGTAGGTGTGAATGTATGTTTCAATAGTTCCAGGCACAAGACCAAAAACTTCCCCAGAATTAGCAGAATTTTCAGCTATAATCTGGCTAACATTTCAGCAAATAGGTCCAAAGGCCTGTTGGGAGCATGCTGCCTCCAAGGAGCTGTAGAGTTGGGTTTCCACTGACATGCTGAGCCGTCCCTGGTATGGTCAGGTGATGTTCAGTGCGATCAGCCCCAGGAAGAGCTTTGTGGTGGCTACAAGTTTCCTCTCCTAAAACCTGCAGATCAAGTCTCTGAGTAGTCAGTTGTACCCCCAGGGCAATTATTTTTGCTCTGCACTTGAAGTCTTAGCACGATAGAATGGGTACATTTTTTGTTTTTGTGTTTAAGAAACTGATTATAGTGCTTTCAAGGACCACTTGAGTAGCGACCTTAGTAGGCAGAGCTTCAGGGAGCGTGTAGCCAGGCTGGATAGTGTCACTAGGCCATATGCTTCCCCGGAGGAGCAGGGCTGCCTCTCTGAGAGGAAATGGGACGCAGAACAGAGCCCACACATTGTGGATGGCGGCTGCTGAGCACAGGGCTAGCTTTGGCCTGGAGCACTGTGCCTCCCCTTCTCTAAAGTGAATGTGTGAAAATGAAAGTGTTGGTCACTCAGTCGTGTCCGACCCTTTGTAACCCTGTGGACTGTAGCCCGCCAGGCTCCTCTGTCCAGGGGATTCTCCAGAGTACTGGAGTGGGTAGGCATTCCCTCTTCCAGAGATCTCAATTCAGGGATCGAACCTGGGTCTCCTGCATTGTAGGCAGATTCTTAACATCTGAGCCCCCAGGGAAGCCTGAACAGCTTTGTACTGGACCGAACGGTGTTGGGTCCCCTCTACAATTTTAGATGTTGAAGCTCTAACCCCCAGTATCTCAGAATGTGACTGTATTTGGAGATAGAACCTTTAAAAATGTTATTCAATTAACAGGTCAGTAGGGTGGGTGCCCATCCAAGGGAACTGGTGTCTGTATAAGCAGAGTTTAGGAGGCAGGAAAGTACAGAGGGAAGACTCTGTGAGGATACAGGGAGAGCGTGCTCATCATTGAGAAGGAAACCTCAAGACTGAGGCCTTCGAAAAGCCATCCTGCTGACACCTTGCTCTCAGATGCATAGCCTTGAGAACCGTGAGAAGATAAATTTCTGTCATTGAGGCACTCAGTCTGTGGACTTGGTCACGGTAGCCCTAGCGAACTAATGCAAATGGATTCTCAGCACCAACCAATTCTGTGTTCCATTTGGGGAAAAAAACCTAGAGCACCAAATTTTTCTAGTTTTTGAGAGGGGTTAAGAGTCTTTTGCTCTTTAAATGTTGGCAGCAGGGCTGATGGCTTCACAGACAAGCAATCTGTGTAGTCCCATGAGACTGGTACTCAGCAGGCCTCGGTGCTCGGTGTCACGTGAAATTCTCCAACGTTGAACAAGGGGTTTGCATTTTCACATTGCCCCAGACCCCACAAGCTATGGAACCCGTCCAAACATGAAGTTTAAATAAAATTTAAACATGGTTAATTAAGAGTGTAGGGGCTGAAACAGAATATGTCTGAGGCTGAATGCAGCGTGGGACACAAGTTTGAACTTTTTGTTGCTAAACAGATTATGACTTCCCATTCCCCCGACATCCCTGGGAAGGAATTTGTGGAGCCCAGAGGTTTCTGGGGCGGGGAAGAAAAGTGCACAGAGATACTCCCCAGGTGTGATTCCCTGAGATTCTAAATACATGAGCTGGTGTAACAACATCAATAACAACACAGCTTTCTTTTTCCAGGGATGGGCGATCAGAAGCTCAGAATAAGAATATGTTGAGAAGCGGTCTCACAGGAGGAATTAAGTGTTTGGTTTAGGGCGGAGAGCTGGGCTGGCCCTGTGGATGCCTGATGCTGGTAGCTCTCCCAGAGCCATGCACCTGGGCACCTAGCTGGGCTCCAGGAAACTGAGCTGAGTATGTGCCCCACTGTGACCTCCATGACTCTGAGGGGCAGTGCGGCTCCCTGGACAAGCAACATGGAGACTCAACAAGTGACAGGGGAGAGGGCCTGGCTAGACCACAGTTTTCCGCCCACAACTGAGGAGCAGGACTCTTTCTCCTTTGGGCTGAGCCAGTCTCAAGATTCTCGAGAGGTTTCCCGTTGGGTTAGGAGGGCTGAGCTGCGAGAGGGAAGCTGGGCTGCCTGTTTGAAGGTGGGCCTCAGCGCTCAACTGTAAGTGAATGAGGTTCCTGAGAGTCGTGGTGCACGCCATGCCGGTCGACTCTCATTTGGAAGGGAAAAGTTTGCCCCTGTGGAAATGAACATCAGTCATCAGGGAGCAGAGTCCCGGGGATATTATGGAGAGATCCTGTTTTTAAGGCTCTGCACTGATTTATAGAAGCTCACTGAAAATATTATAGTGGAATGTTCAGTCAGGAGGTCTGCTTTTCTAGTTCTATTTCTGCCCAGTACTGGCTAACTGGAGAGTGTAAATTTTAAAAGAAATAATTTTGTATGCACATTTATGCAAACTCCCTCAGGGGAATGAGTGAAAGACTGTTTGAGACACTCTGAATTTCTTGGAAGAAAGCTGCTGTATAAATTAATATGGAGCTTTTTTTTCCCCCCATCCCAGGTCTGCAAGACAGAACTGGAAAGAACTCCTCCCTTCACTCATGGGTGAAAATGAAGCTCTCTACTGGCCTCTATCAGAGAAGCTAAAAATTTCCCTCTTTCCTGCAAGTCTCCCAAATCCCATGACTCTGATTTCCAGGTCAGAGACTAAGATTTAATTTTTATTATTCTTTTTTATTATTTTTTATACCCGGCTTATGAAGAGTGCCCGAATGATTATGAGCCTGCTGTGGGCAAGGCCAGGCCTTGGGTGTGAGAGGAAATTGTATCACGCCTACTTGGTGATTTGCCCAAGGTCACCTCCTAAATTCTTCTGACAAACAGCACCCTCCTCCATCCTGGAGTTGGCGAGCAGAGTCCTCCTCTGGACTGAACCAGTCCCAGGATTCTTAAGGGATTGAGGTAGTGACCCAAAATCTAAGAGAACTAGAATTCGGTATATGACATTTCTGATTTCATTCCTAAATGGTAGTTCCCTTCAGCATGTGGAATATAAGAAACCTCACTAAAAATTTTTAATTAAAAGGCCACTAGGTTAAGACAGATGAAAATTATGTCCATATGAAAACTTGTCCACAAACATTCACAACAGCGTTATTCATAATAGCTAAAAAGGAGAAACAGTTTAGACAGCCACCAACTAATGAATGGATAAACAACTTGTGGTTTATCCTTACAATGGAATACCATTTGGCAATAAAAAGGAATGAAATATTGACACATATTAAAACGTGGATGAGCCTTTAAAACATTATGTTAAGTGAAAAAGCCAGTCACAGAGGAACAATTATTATATGATTCTATTCATATGAAATTCTTAGACTAGGCTAATCTAGAGAGAAGATAATAACTAGTGGTCACCAAGGGGAATAGGTCAGAGTGCAGGCATTGGAAGATGATAGTTGAGTGGTTCAGAGTTTTTGTTGGGGGAGTGATAAAAATGTTCTAAAATTAATTGTGGTGAAGGTTGAACAACTCTGTGAATATACCAAAAAAACAGTGAATTTTGCACTTTAAATGGGTAAATTGCATGATGTATAAATTGTATCTCAATAAAGGTTTTAATTTTAAAAAAAGATACTCTAAAAAAGACCATTGGTTTATGTCTTTTTCTGAAGTTTATTGCCTTGGAATAGATATGAAAGTGTTAGTGGCTCAGTCATGTCTGACTCTTTGCCACCCCATGGACTGTAGCCCACCAGGCTTCTCTGTCCATGGGATTCTCTTGGTAAGAATACTGGAGTGGGTAGAAGATCCAGGGATCTTCCCAACCCATGGATTGAACTGAGGTGTCCTGTATTGCAGGCGGATTCTTTACCATCTGAGCCAGCAGGGAAGCCTTGGGATAGATATGTCTAGGCTTAAAAACAGACTGTATGAACCAAGAAAAATGAGAATGTGAAAACTGATTTTTATCTTAGGTAGAGAGACTGATTTGCAGAACTACAGGTAGCCACAATACCTGTAACAGTTTCAAACTGCTAAAAAATTTTTTCTAAGCCTGAAATCATTAATATCTCTGTAAACAATGATGGGAAGTGGCTTTGTCTTTTTTGTCTTTTCCATATTATTTTCCCTTTCTTAACTAATAGCACCCCAGCGTTCTCTTAAGGAAACACCCACCTCATTTACAGTCCGGGTGATTTGCATGTTGCTCACCCTATGTTTTAGGCTTTATGACTCTGACCTGATCAGGTAGCAGATTCTACCCAGTGGTATTGGTGCTGAATCACACCAGCTCTTCTGAACCCGCCGGTAAATTTTCAGAAATTTTGTGAGCCAGTTGTCAAACATCATCACAATTAAAATTTAAAGCATATGAATATATAATTAAATAAATTATATTTAACATGAAGTGAATAGGTCCTCAAAACTCACCACTTTCTAATTATTTGAATTCATTACTCTATTATCTGTGCTCTTGAGGTTTTTTACATCTATTGGATCTGGATGGTGGAAGTACTATATATATATATAGTGCTCCGCTACTGTGCATCTTTTCCCAACTCCAGGTTCAGTGACTTCCAGTTGACAGCTTGAAAGTGAACGTGGTGGCAGGATATACACCACAGAGGTAGGCAAATACCTTATATAAGGACTTTTTCTTTTTTGTCAAGGAGATTGTTAAAGATTTACTAGCTAGAGTGGGTTGAATGGTATCCCGGCAACAGTTATGTCTACATCTTAGTCCCAGGAACTTGTGAATATAATCTTATTTGGAGTAGGACTCTGCAGGTGAAATTAAGGTTCTTGACATGAGATCATCCTGGATGATCCAAGAAGGCCCTAAATATAATCACGTGTGTTCTTACTTGGAGAGAGAGGAACACAAAAGCACAGAGGAGATATGCAGATCTGAGGAGGAGGCAATATGGTCTTTGAAGCAGAGATCTGAGTAAAGCTACTCTAAGTCAAGGAAACCTGGAGCTACCAGAAGCTGGAAGAGATAAGAAACAGAATCTCTACTAGAATCTGTGAAGGGAGAACAGACCTGGTGACATCTTGATCCTGGATTACTGACCTCCAGAAGTGAGAGAGTAAATTCCTGCTTTTTAAAGCCACCCAGTTTGTGGTCATTTCCTTTGGCTTCCACAGGAAGCTAAGGTACCATCAAACCACGGCAGCACTATTACCTGGTTCAGTGATGGGCCTGGGACCCATGCTAAGACAACGGGAGCTCAGCTTCTATTGTAAAAGAAATATACTACTTCTCCTAGAGGTTGCTAAGTGGTACAGTCTTTGCCAGAATATTTGCCAAAGAAGGAGAACAGTACAGAAAGTGGTAAAATCGGGATGCAGAAACAGAAAGAAGAGAGAGAGTCAGAATCCAGATAATGTTATTTGAGAAGCTGAATCTATTCTACTACTGAATTTTTAAAATTCTATGAACAAATTAATTTCTTTTCTTTCTAAACCAAGTTCTTAACCAGTTGTTGTTCAGTCAACCAGTTGTGTCTGATTCTTTGTGACCCCGTGGACTGCAGCACGCCAGGCTTCCCTGTTTATCTCCCAGAGTTTGCTCAGACTCACATCCATTGAGTCAATGATGTCATCTAACCATCTCATCCTCTGTCGCCCCCTTCTCCTCCTGCCCTCAATCTTTCCCATCATCAGGGTCTTTTCTAATGAGTTGGCTTGACAAATATAGACATGTTAATTTTCAGAGCACAGATAGGATTGTAAATACATAAAATTGATATCATTTCATTAGTTACTATTTAAATCAAGCATAACTTTATGTCAAACAGTGAACAATCTGAGATTTATCTGAACAAAGCATGCTTATTTGTTCCACTGATAATTACTGAGCCAAACATGTCTCAAATATTCTACTCAGGACAGATATCCATCTATGTAAGAGCTAACAATTTATTTGCCTGTAAGGAGTTCAGTGTAACCCACATTAATGAGATTACCAGCAGGATTAACTTTCCATTTTATAGTCCATATTTTTCCAGACAGTACTAAATTCATGTAATTTCATTATTCTTCCTAAAGAAAATTTGTTTAATGCACAGCTAAAATATTTTAACTTGTTTATGAGATTTACTTAAATGTACTTAATTTACTTAAATGTACTTAAATTTACTTAAATGTACTTTTAAGTACATTCACAGATCATAAAAAAAATCTTTTGGAGTTTTTAGGTTGGGAAAATATTCTTATAGTTATTTCCAAATGATGTTGTACCTTTGGTAATTTTGTACATTTCAGCAATTTTCACTTTCCATTATCCTTAGTAATTTTTTAATGTGGGCAAGCACATTTCTGAAAGGAGCAAGCCACAGAAAATCCTAGGGACAGATATACAGTACTGGACTATTTTTAAAGCAAAATCTTTTTTATCTTCAGCTTTTCTATCACTAAACCATTTTTCCAGTTCAAGAAGTTTAAAATTAATTTCCCCCCCATAATCCTATCTCTTACCTCTACTTTCAAATACCTTTGTCTTTTGATGAGCACATTTTGGATGAATTCCCAGTCAACTTTTAAAATTTAATTAAACTCAGCTAAGTTTAACTCAGCTTTAACAGATAGTTTTCTAATAGCTGGTTAACTGGGAGCCCATCTTTAGGAACTCTAAGAAAAAATGGTTGGTCAATGTTGCATGTTGATAAAAGTTCTAATACTGATGTCACGAGCATCAATAAACAAATGCCTGCTCGTGTTGATCTAAAAAGACAATAAACTTTCAAATGCAAGTATCCAACTATTACATTATTCTGAGTATTTTATATTTGCTAGTAGCATTGCTTATCAAAAAGAGACTGAGTATTTTCAAGTCAAAAAACTCACAAAAACCAACAACCAGTTAAAGAACAAGAGAGTAAACCACGCATACACACACACACAGGAGGCACAGAAAATAAGAGATTGTTCTGAAGACAGATACATGAATTAGTCGATAACAACTCAAGCCTATTCTTCTAGGAGAATTCTCCTTCTGTACAAACATGTAGCCACCAATGGGGAGAGATGGATTGGGATTTGGAGGTTAGTAGACACAAACTGTTACTTATAAAATGGATAAACAAGATCCTACTGTATACTCAGGGAACTATATTCAATACTCTGTGATAAACCATAATGGAAAAGAATATGAAAAAGAGTGTGTGTGTGTGTATCTGAATCACCTTGTTGTGCAGCAGAAATTACCACAACATCGTGAATCAACTATACTTCCATAAAATACATTTTTTAAAAAGTAGCTACCAAAATTTTGGGGGTGAGTAGGTTCATTATCAACTTAGAATTACAAGGAACCGTGGGGAAATTAAAACTGTGGCTTTCAGAGTCCCCATTTTTATAGACCCCTAGAAGCCTAAAATAAAAATTGGGAACACATCAAATTGAGCAAAAGCAGAAGTAAACACTCTCAAAATAAGTGTTTAGAAAGCTACTAAATAATTAAATATTACTCATTCTTGATAACCCTGGCTATGGAGAATTCAAACAAGTTTGCTTTTTTCCTAAAGCTAAAAAGAAACTCACCGCCAAAGTTGAAATACAAGGAACCGGAAAAAATCAGTGATTTGTTCCCTGATGGCAACTTTATGCCAGAGATACGAGAGTTTCTTTACACCGAATTGTTTTCTTCCTGTGGAAAACATTGATAGGAATCTAGGTGAATGGATATAA